GCCCCCCGTCTCGCCAGGGGGGGGCCTTAACCGTTGCGCAAACGTTGTCCTCCTCCTCCTGCTCATCCTCCTGATCCCCCTGTGCCTCGTACCCTGCATCCCCCTCTCCTCGCCTTTCTTCTTCTTCTTCCCCCTCCTCCTCATCATCATCACCACCATCATCATCAGCAGCAGCAGCAGTATCGGCATCCTCAGCATCATCATCATCAGCATCATCATCATCATCGTCGTCGCCATCATCATCATCATCGTCATCATCATAATAATAATATTAATATTATTAATAATAATAGTCGTCATCATCCTCATCATCATCATCATCATCATCATTATCATTATCATCGTTATCATCATCGTAATCAGCATCCCCCCGTGGCCCATGGCCCTCCTCCTGCTCACCCTTTTTCCTGCTCTCCTGCTCCTCCTGCTCCTCATCCTCCTCCTTCTCCTCCTCCTCACGCCCCCCCTCATCTCCCTCCTCCTCCTCCTCCTCCTCCTCCTCCTCCTCCTCCGCTCCGCCTCCCCCCCTCCCCCACCAGCAGCAGCAGCACTAGCACCAGCAGCAGCACCAGCAGCAGCACCATCAGCAGCAGCAGCAGCAGCAGCAGCAACAGCCGCAGCAGCAGCATCACTGGCAGCACCTGCAGCAGCACCACGAGCACCTGCAGCAGCATTACCACTAGCAGCAGCAGCAGCAGCAGCAGCAGAACTAGCAGCATCCCTCTTGGGCCATCTTGGAGCCATCTTGGGGCCTCGGATGGTCATCGGAAGCGAAAAGGCGAGAAGGCACACATCACATTTTGCCTGTAAGTTTTTACGGATGTTGGCATCTTGGGGGCCTCCTTGGAGGTCTCCGAGGCCTCTTGGAGCCGTCTTGGAGCGTTCTTGGGCCCCCTTGGAGAATCTTCGGTGCCATCTTGAAGCATCTTAGGCTATCTTGAAACATCTCGGAGGTCATCTTGGGCTCTCCGAGGCGCTCTTGGAGCCGTCTTGGGCCATCTTGGGCGCTCTAACTACCCGCGGGGCGCCCCGTCCAGGTCCAGGGGAGGGGGTAAAGGGGGAGGGGGAGCGTGAGGAGGAGGAGAAGGAGGAGGATGAGGAGCAGGAGGAGCAGGATAGCAGGCAAAAGGGTGAGCAGGAAGAGGGACATGGGCCATGTGGGGATGCTGATTACGATGATGACGGTGATGATGACGATGATGATGATGATGATGATGATGATGACGATGATGATGCCCTTTTTCCTGCTATCCTGCTCCTCCTGCTCCTCATCATCCTCCTTCTCCTCCTCCTCACGCCCCCCCTCCCCCTACCCCCTCCCCTGGACCTGGACGGGGCGCCCCGCGGGTAGTTAGAGCGCCCAAGATGGCCCAAGACGGCTCCAAGAGCGCCTCGGAGAGCCCAAGATGACCTCCGAGATGCTTCAAGATAGCCTAAGATGCCTCAAGATGGCCCCGCAGATTCTCCAAGGGGCCCCAAGAACGCTCCAAGACGGCTCCAAACGGCCTCGGAGACCTCCAAGGAGGCCCCCAATATGCCAAACTCCTTTAAAAACTAAACAAAATGTGATTTGTGCCTTCTCGCATTTTCGCTTCCGATGACCATCCGAGGCCCCAAGATGGCCCCAAGATGGCCCAATAAGGCTGCTGCTACTGCTGCTGCTGCTGCTGCTAGTGGTAATGCTGCTGCAGGTGCTCGTGGTGCTGCTGTCGGTGCTGCCAGTGATGCTGCTGCTGCGGCAGTTGCTGCTGCTGCTGCTGCTGATGGTGGTGCTGCTGGCGCTGCTGCTGGTGCTAGTGCTGCTGCTGCTGGTGGGGGAGGGGGGGAGGCGGAGCGGAGGAGGAGGAGGAGGGGGGCGAGGGGGAGCGTGAGGAGGAGGAGAAGGAGGAGGATGAGGAGCAGGAGGGGCAGGAGAGCAGGAAAAAGGGTGAGCAGGAAGAGGGCCATGGGCCACGGGGGGATGCTGATTATGATGATGAGAACGATGATGATGATGATGATGATGATGATGATGACGATGATGTTGACGACTATGATGATGATGCTGAGGATGCCGATACTGCTGCTGCTGACGATGATGATGGTGATGATAATGATGAGGAGGAAGAAGAAGAAAGGCGAGGAGAGGGGGATGCAGGGTACGAGGCACAGGGGGATCAGGAGGATGAGCAGGAGGAGGAGGAGGAGGAGGAGGAGGACAACGACGACGAGGATTCGTGGGAGGAACACAGTGGAAGGTTGGATGGATGACCAGGTACGTGGGAGGAAAGGAGAGGAGGATGAGGAGGCGGCTGCGGAGAGGATGTGTCGTCGTCGTCGTCGTCGCCGTCTTCACCTCGTCGTCCTCGTGGAAGTCGTCGCCGTCGTAAGGGCCCAACCCCATGCAGCTGCGAGTGGCGCAGGATGACTCTCTCCTCATAGGTAGCGCGCCGCCAGAGGGGTGGAGCCCGAGGCATTGCGGATGGGGGCCGCGAAGCGTCTGAGGGGGTTGCCGAAATGAGGCGGACGCGCAAAATGGAAATGCTCATTGGAGCCTTCGGCGGAGCTCCACGTGAGGCCGACAAGACGTGTGAGGGTGTGCCTTAATGGGACGACGACAACGACGACCGCGACGACGACGACGACGACGACGACGACGGCGGGGGGGGCGGCATGCGGACGTGCCCGATGGGACGACGACGACGACGACGACGACGACGACGGCGACGACGACGACGACGACGACGACGACGACGGCGGGGGGGACGGCTCGATGGGAGCTCTAACATGCTATGTTAGAGCTCCCATCGAGCTCTAACATAGCATGTTAGAGTTCACAACCCTCACATCGAAATCTACCATAGCATGTTAGAGCTCCCAAGGAGCTCTTACATAGCATGTTAGAGCTCCATGACATTACCTTGAGCCAAGTCCTACGGACCACAATGGTGACGATGGTGATGGTGATGGCGATGCTGATGGTATGGATGGTGATGATGATGATGATGATGATGATGATGGGGATGGTGATGATGGTATGGTGAGGGCGGTTGTGATGGTGATGATGGTGATGGTGATGATGGTGATTGTGGATGTGATGAGCACCGCCATCATCACCATCACCATCGCCACCACCATCAGCACTACGATTTGATAATCACCATCATTACAATCGTCGTCGGCATCAAAACACAAAAACACTCAACCGATTCAACCTAAACCCGCCCTAAAGACAGCCAGCATCCTCATCCTCATCCTCATCATCATCATCACCATCATCATCATCATCACCAGCACCACCAATATCATCATCACCATCACCATCACGATCATCATCGTCAGCACCACCACCACAACCATCACCACCAGCACCAGCACCAGCACCATCACCATCGCCATCACCATCACCATCACCATCACCATCATCATCATCTCCATCACCATCACCATCACCATCGCCGTCACCATCACCATCACCATCAGCATCATCACCATCACCATCACCATCATCCTCATCCTCATCCTCATCCTCATCCTCATCCTCATCCTCATCCTCATCCTCATCCTCATCCTCATCCTCATCATCACCATCACCATCACCATCACAACAATCACCATCACCATCACCATCACCATCACCATCACCATCACCATCATCATCATCGTCGTCGCCATCATCATCATCATCATCATCATCATCATCATCATCATCATCATCATCATCATCATCATCATCATCATCATCATCATCCGCCCCAGACCCAACATCCCTGCAGCACTTCTCGAGGCGGATCGTTCCGTGACTGTCCTGGGGCCCGGGATTGGGGGCAATCGCCCGCTGCGTAACGACTTGCAGCGCCCTCGGTCACCTGACTTCGCCCCTCGCGCCCCCACGCCGCATGGCAGCCGCTCTGGCTCAGGCCGCGACGCACGAAGCGCGATTATCTTCGCGCCCCCGTGGGTGATCTGGACGCGGGGTGCTCAGTGGCTCCTGATCGGCTCCGAGCGGCCAGGCGGGTGGCTCGCGTCGCCCCCCGCAGCTGGCGAGCCGTGGCGCTGTCTATGCCAGGAGGCGCTCGAGCGGCCAGGCAACGCGGGCGCCGAGCCATCTTTTCCCCTTTCACGGGGCAGCAGTACCGACGTATGCAGAAGGAGGTGCCGTTCAGCGCAGGCCCTCTGTGAAACAACGTCCCCGGCGAGTTTTTCGGGGACAGACAATTGCCGGGCCGGGCTTGCGGGGGTGCGGGCTTCTATGTAGGGCGACCAAATCTATAAATATCCACTGCTCCCTGGCCAGGCCCATCCTGAACCCAGCAGCGGTGTATACGCCACGCCCTCCTTGCTTGGCCAGGAGGGCGTATGCACAGCTACTTGTTTCAGGATGGGCATGGCCAAGGAGCAACGAATATGTATAGGTTTCGTCGCCAGATTATGCGCCGCGCGGAAAACCCCCCGGGGCGCCCCCCTGGCGACGGGCGGAGGGCCTGCAAAGGCCACCCAACTTCGCGCTCTCGCGCCCGCGAGAAGCGCGACCGTGCTGGTGCCCTGGCGCGGCCACTCTGGGCAAAGGCCGCCCTGGAACAGGAGAAGCGATGGCGCGCGAGTGCAGAGTCAGTCGCCGGGACTACGACAAGTTCATGTCGTGCCGCCTTCTGCGTTAGCTCCTGACACCGCAGGGATCGTTCCACCTTGAACGGTCGGCCGTTTCCGAACCGTCAGATCGTTCAAAATCGATCGGTTCTGGGTCGCTGGCGGCGTTCAACGTTGAACGCCGACGCCGGCGGCGGGGTGGTCGCTGGTCAACACGACACGAACCTTCCGTAGGCTGGGCGGTCGCATGGCGCCTCGCCGTCTCTCCTGCTTGTGCACTACGCGGCGCCGAGCAGAAAAGAGATGCAGAGTCGATCCCTGGAGTTTCACCAGAAACCACTTGCAAAGCCTCTTGCAGGCCAGCTGGAGTCAACGCATGTCGCGCGATGGCGGTGCCTCGTCTCGGGCCGTCGCAAACCCCAAGACTCGACTCAGGTCGTCTCGGCCCGCACATTTCCACGCCCTGGAGTGGGCTTTTTCCGAGAGATCTCCTCGACAAGTGTCTCCAACTGGTAGATCACTAGGTTCATGTCGAGACTCTTGGCCTGGCCCCTCAGGCGGAGGCAGCCGTCGAGGAACTCCTCGATCCCGACCTCTCCGTTGTCGTTGCGGTCCAGCAGCTTGAACAACGTGTGAGCTTTGCGGATGTCTAGATCCAGCGTTTGGAAATACGCTTTAACACGATCATTTTCTAAGTGTTCTTTGAATTCCTTCCACGAGAGCTGGCCTGAGTTGTCTGTATCTGCCTGCTTAAAGAAGGTCTTGATGTCAGTTGCGTAGGTCTTGAGGGATGCGATCTCGTGATCAACCATACGGTCCCGGTCCTTCGAGGCAACGCCAGTTGTAACATCCACCACAGTGCCAATTACAACGTTGAGTACCAAGAACACCATGAAATCCGCCGCCGTACTTTGGCTTCGGCGCGTCCGTCTGGATGAACGCGCAGGGGGGTCGCCACGGCAGGATTCGCCAGGATTCGACCCCTCCACCTCCTCCTCCTCCTCCTCCTCTTCCTCCTCCTCCTCCTCCTCCTCCTCCTCCTCCTCCTCCTCCTCCTCATCCGTGACAACTGAACCAATTCGTGCACGACGTCGTCGTGGTTGTGCCTTTGCTGGAGGATAAACCCGTCCAGCGCGGCGCCCCACCTGAAGACGAGGGCATCCTCGGTCTTCAGGCGGCACGTACCAGTCGGCCAAAATAGTCTCCTCTGCAGCGCGTCCTGGGGCTGGGCCCGGGGCCGCAGCGCAGCCAAGTCTGGCGACTTTTTTGGCTTCGGCGTCGTGCGCCGGGAGCGAGGAAGCGTATGAGATGAGTGGCTGTACAATCGGGCTGCTGAGACAAGGAACGCCAAACGAGGAACGGAGTCCCTCTTTGGCTCCCAAGAGCGCCTGAGTGCACGAGGAGGGCTAGAGAAACAGCCATACAAGGATCTTTCTTGCCCGTTTTTCTTTGTCAGCCCGTCCCTTGGTCCGAATAAGAGTCGCGGTGGCCCGCACTGCCAGGCGGGCGAATAGCCGGGCGTGGGAAGAATCCGTGTCCTCTGTGGCCATCCTGGGAACCACTGTTTCGGATTGTTGCAGCATTGTTTTCGCTCGCGTCGAATACGCTGGCAGCCACTTCGGGAGGAGGCAAGGCCGCTCTCGGAGTCCTGGGGTCAGGGGAGAGTTGCTCCCGCTGGAAGGATCTAGGGAACATCGAGCCCCTTCCGAACCCAAGCTGTTCCTTGTTCCAGCGTCTTGGCTGTACCCCCTTGCCACTTGTTCTTCCTCGCTGGAGCTCCTGGACCCCAATCGCTTGAGGGGGGGTCACGATCTCGTCGTCGCACTTCTGGGGCGGTGGCCTCAAGATGTCTTCCAAGATGGCTCAAGAAAGGAGCTCCAACACTCTGGAGAGCCCTCACCAACACCCAAGATGGCCGCAAGACGGCCGAAGAGGCCTCCAATGACGTCCCAGACGAGCTCCAAGAGCGCCCCCCAGAGGGCCTCAGGAGGCAAGATTCGCTTGTGTTTGTTATCAGCGTGGCTGAACAGTGTTCGCATGGCCCCCCAAGCAGCTCCATGAGTCTCCCCAGAGGCTCGAGCAGAGAACAAAACACCAGGAAGGATGGTTGACTCCTGCCAAACCCTAACATCTCCAGAGTCCTCGGACCCTCGCCGAACGCCAGCACTGAGGCTCCGACGTCGAGCTAGCGAACACGACGAACTTCTCTCCTGCTCGGGGGCTCGACGGAAAGGCGTACGCCTCTTGGATACACGTAGCCGAAGTACAGGAGACCGTAAAACGGGTCGACCCTGAGAAAAGAGTAGTACACCTCCCCCCAGTCCCGCCCGCCTGTGACGCTCTCAAAGAGAGTCACGATTGCTCGGTCGATGCTGCTCCAGCTGCACTTCATGTAGTCGATGTGATCTTGCGGGGTCAGCCAGAACTGTTGTTCCTGAAGACTAAGGTCACCTCCGCCGCTGTCCAGGTGTGACTCGAAGAACGCAAGGGTGCCATGCATGAAGATCATCGCGAATATGTACATGAAGTACAATAACACTACGAATACCCAGATCAGCGCGTCCAAAGACTTGAATATTGAGAAGATCATGACTCGCAAGGTCTGGCATGCCTGCACGACCCTGACGACCCGCAAGACCCGCGTGATGCGAAAGAGCCTGATATTCCGGGTCGGCGTCAGGTTCGGTGTGTCGGAGCCGTTGACGCTCTCGATCGCCAGCTGCACAAGAGCAGCAAGCACCAGGATCGTGTCCAGCAGGTTCCAGTGCCAATCGGTGCCAAAGAAGACGTACACGTCCTCCGCCAGCAGCTTGCACAGGAGCTCAAGCGCAAAAAAAACAACAAAACCGAGCTCGACATATTCCGGCCACATCTCCGCCGGTGTGTTGCTCTGCGCGTTGTCCATATCAAGTTGCATGCGAATGCCGATGAAGGAGGAATTAGCAATGATCATGAAATACGTCACAGCATCGAAAGGCCAACTCTTCGCAATCTTGTACGCAATTCGCCTCTTCCGCGACTGCCCGCCGCTCTTGAGGTACCTGTTCATGAACTGACAGAACTCGTTCTGCCTCTCCGCGAACGGGTTCCACACGATGCTGTTCCTGTCGTAGCCCGCCCGCTCTGCGACCACGAAGGGGTCGTCGAACGTGTCCTCGGACACCTCGGCCTCGCTGTCCCAGCTGTGCTGCCGGGGCCAGGCCCCCTCCTGGGAGCCGAGCTCGGCCTGCTGCCCAGCCTGCTGCGGGTCGTTCACCGTCCCCGGGGTCCCGTCCTTGGTGGAGCCCTCCGAGTTCCGCGCGGCAACGTCGGCCGCCTGGGGGAGGACACGAAAAAATACTGATGCTGGTACCCCCCGGACCTCTCCCTGGGTGGGTGCGTTCTGACCAGGATCTCGCGGCCACTTCAACGGCGGCGACGAGGGCTTCCCGAGAGGCCGGACAAGGCGAAACCGAGGGAAACGTGGGGGGGAACTGGTATATTTCCCTCCTCTGGCCTGCTTCGTGGCCTTCTGGCTCATCTTCCGCAGCTCTCTCCGCAACGACTCGACCTCCCGCGCGTGCGCGGCCTCGAGCTGCATCACCGCCTCGGCGAAGGAAGGCGGCGCGCCCTTGGAGTCGGTCGGCGCCTTCTGGGGGGCATCCCAGAGGGGGGCGCGCAGGTGGAGGAGAAGGAAGACGAGGAGAAGGAGGAGGAGGAGGAGGAGGAGGAGGAGGGATATACAGGGAGAATGCTAGCAAGTTCGACGATGTTTTGCAGAGGCGCGGGAAACCTTTTTGGCAACAAGGGGCCAGAACATCTGTAGGATTCGGCGGCACGCTGGATATCGTGGACCGATCGGACACACTTCTCTCGAGCACAGGCTGACAGCGGACAGGGGCCCAGGCTGTGGTCGTCCAGACCCCCGATCACCATACTGTGCCTTGGCCAACTTGACTGGCCGTCAACAGAGGCAGGCACACAACACTCATTTGCCAGCGATAGCGTCCAGACGGGTTCCTTCGATTGAAAGAGCGGTACTCCAGAGCCACCGAGCGCCAACAGAAAAGAGGCCCAACGGATAAAGCTCGGAACGTGCGGTCCATTTCTGGTTGGACCCTGGGGCCGAACCGGACAAGTGTATGTGAGGCTCATTTCAAAAACAACATCGGCCGTCGACGAGTTGGCACAAGCGAGAGAGCGGCGGAGGGGGAAAGGGTCAGATGCCAGCCCGACATGGTCGTCCGTTTTCTCCACGTGACTTTGAAGAGACAAAAATCGAATGTGAGGCGTTGGCAAGATTTGTGGCGGGCGAGACGCTGCAATTCGGGCGTGCTCCAGGCGAGGCTGCAGGCGGGATTCTCTGCCACGAGTGGCACACCGCCGCGAGCGCACTTTCCGACGATGCGGCAGGTGGCGGCCAGGGATCTGTTCCCGGCCAGCACAAGCTCCAGGCCCTGGGGGTCCATGTCAGCACGGCCAAACAGCTCCACGTGGGGTCCTATATCGCTGGCGCGAGGCAGCGCTCCAGATAGAGCAAAGGAAGGCAAGCCAAATGCCTCTGATTCGGCCTGAGCCGATCCACCCGACTATGAGGTCCACGACCATCGAATCATTTAGATTAAACGCGGGGTGGAATTTCAGGTCGGTTTCGATGACCCCCAATCCCTCGAGCGCCTCAAAGCCCGAGCGAGACTCCCGGAGCCCGAGAAAAGGTCTAGAAATATTTGGCCTGTGCGGGAAGAGGTGGCGTCGGAAAAGGCGTCGGCCCACGTCTGATGGATGGAGCCCCTGCTGAGGCGCGAGGAAACGCCCAGTGCGTCGCCAGCCTTGGCGCCACTGTCTCGAGCCAGCTGGCTCACCTGAGGGGCTCTGGCGGCCCGCGGCAGCGCGGCCGCTCGGAGAAGACGGCCTCGACCCAGGCGCCGAACTCCGCGAATTCTGTCGGGAGACGCTCCACCTCGGCCGAGTACCTGGTGCCCTTCGGGTAGCGCAGTGCGCTGGACTCGCCCAGGTGCCTCCGCATCTCTTGGGCGGCGCTGAACTCCCAGCTCTCGAAGAGGACGTCGTGGGAGGCGACCGCCGCCGCGCTCTCGAACGCCACCCCCTCGTCGAATCGCGCCGTCTTGCTGCGCATGAAGAACAGGATGGCGACCTCATTGATCGCGTTGCTGGGCTGGGTTTCCGCCGGCGAGCTGCCCGCCGCATCCGCCAAGTCGCCGGGCGGCCGCGAGCGCGCGACCCAGGCGACCAGGCGGCCGAGGGAGAAGTCGAGCAAGTTGGAGGACCCGTCGGCATCCACCATCGCGAAGACTGCTGCCCGTAGCAAAGGCTTGCGGGTCCGCCCAGGCGCCCTCTTCTTGAAGCCTTTGAGCGCAGCGCGGCTGACCTCCGGAGCCATGGTCAGCAGCCAGCGCCTCTCCAGACGGCCCCCCTCCAGGAACACGTCGCAGACGCGGCGGTGCCGCGTCTCGGCCAAGCGGCTGGCTCGGGCCCGCGGCGGGAAGGTCAGGCCGGCTGGGACGTGGCCGTCGCCGCCTGCTGGCGTCGGGCTCGGTCCGCGGCTCGCCGCGCCTGGAGGGCGGTCGACCTCCGAGCGGCAGTCTGCGCCCGCGGCGCCCTCGTCCTCGCTGGGCGAAGAGGACGAGCTGGACCGAGCCACTCGGGTCGCGCCAGCCCCTGCAGGGCCCCCGCCAGCGTCGCGCGCGAGCCGGGCCCGGGCGAGGCCGCCAGGGCGAGGGCCTGGCTCCGAGGCGTCGCCGAGCCCGCCCGGCCCAGACCCGCCAGGGGGCCGCGGGCGCTCCCTTGCCCCCCCGGGTCGGGGCCGAAGCGCCGCTCGACGCAACGGGCGAGGACCAGGTCGAGCTCCGCGTCGAAGAAGGACGCGGCTGTGCTCCAGGCCGCCGGGGCGTCCGCGCGAGTCCCCGCGGGCCCCGGCGCGGCCCTCCCCGCCGGGCCGCGAGGCTGCGGGAGGGGTCGCCGGCCGGGTTCAGCTCTGAAGCAATCCGTCGCACGATGAAAGGAAATTGGACAAGATGGACAAACGCAACAACTCTTGGCAAGTACGGTTGAAAGGGGGACTCGACGACCGCCCCTTTCCAGTGGCGAGCGCAACTGACACATTATCGCACAGGGCAGACGTCGACTGCCGAAGCTGCTGATGTTACTAAGCTTGCGCCGGGTACCCATGACCAGCGCCCGCCCCTCGGTCCTCATGATGTCTTCTGTCGTGGCGAAACGGCCGAACAGGACCGTGGGCCACGCGTCGGGATCCCCGATCTGCCCCCGATCGACGTGCGACAAGTCGGCGGCGCCTCTCCGGGCCCGCGGCCGCACGTGAACGACGCGCTGCTCGTCCACGAGAAGTCCCGAGGCTTGCTCCCGAGCGCCAATGGCGCCCTCCACGCAGCAACGCCACTTATCAACGCGGCTGGCCACGGCCCGAACGACATCATAATCCCGAGCCCGCTCGCAAACGCCGAAACCACCGCTGTCGAATGCCCCGGCCCCGGAAGCATCCGAGGCCGCCGCGAGCGAGTCGAACGGCCGCTTGACGTCCGCGAGCGCAAACGGCAGCAGGGCAGCGGCGATCCGCAATTCCCTCACTACGCGAGCCCAGAGGCGCCACCGCCGACTCCCCGCAAGCGAAACGAATTGGAAAAACCGAAGGAACAACAGACAGCATTCCCCGCTTCAATAAACAGGCCCAGGCCAGGTGCCCCAGGACCCGTCTCAACTCGTCTCCGCTGCGCTAGCCTGCCCTACAAAGCTCCGAGAGCCCGAGCCGAACTTTCCAGAGACGCGCGGTCGATGGGGAAATCAGCCCGGACTTTCGCTCGACGGTGAGACCAGTGAGCCCTTGCTGCTCAGAGGCCCCGACCACCCCTTTTAAAAAGCAGGCCGCGCTGCCCCTGGAAGTTGACGGCTCTCGAGCAACCGTCGGCGCGCGCAGACGAGTTGGCCCCGAGGAAAGCGACGTCGTCGACATTGGCGGCGGCGACGGAGCCCCCCTCGTCGGCAATCGCCCGCCTATCCTGGACAAGCCTGTCAGGGGGGGGGCTGGAATCGAGAGCGGCTTTTTTCAACCGCGCACTGGCAGAAATAGAAGGGCCAAGACCAGCGCCAGCGACGGCGCCCCAGCGCCCCGAGCGCAACCAGAGCTACCTGGGGGCAGCGCCTCGAGATGCCCAGCGGAAACAGGAAGGGGAACGAACAAATCATCGATGCCAGATGGGGGGCGATCCTATAGAAAGCACTTTCAACGTCAGCTCGGCGCAGTGAAAGCCCACGCTCGTCAGGCATGTACGAGGGGCGCCACGCGCCCGAGGTGGGCAACTGGGGGCGCTGAGGGGCGCGGAAGAACGCGCTCGCCCCCCGGCATCAAAAATCAGACGCCGCCGAACGCCATCGCTTTTCCAAACAAAGAAGAGCCCGAGAGTTGCCGGCTTCGGGCACTGCAGGTGCCCGCGGCGCCTGCAGCCTGCAAGTCTAAACTGAAGCGCGCGTAGGGCGAGCGGCTTCTTGGGCGGCTGTCCACGCGCGGCTTGAATTTCGAAAAGGTTGCGCCCCGGTCGACGCCGGGATGCAAGAGATGCCGCCCCCACCCCCTCCAAAAGCTCAAGGCCTGACCGCCGAAACACTTGCCCCCCTGAGCGAGGCCCCCGCCGCCAGGCAGCGAGACGTGGTCTCGCTGGTAGGAGGCGCACTTCGTCGAGTCTTGGCACCCGGACTTGCCGCCGCGCAGCTCGCCGAGGGCTGCCGCGGCGCTCAGGTTAGGCGGGCCGAGACGCCCCTGGCCGCGTCGGAAGCTTCGGCGCCGCGTCGCTGAGCAAGCGAAAGAGAGCGCGAGCCGTTGGGCTCGCCGTGGTTGCGCAAAAGATTGAGAGCAGACGCAGTCTCGCGCACCCGGTCGCCAAGGGCGACCCGGCGGCGAACTCGGCCACGGACGCTGCGGGAGGCTCCGTCCAGGCCGTCATGCACGACGGAGTCGGCCAGCTGCTCGACGTCGACGGGGAGGAGCTCGCGCCCGACCACCATGGCAGCCAAGGCCCCGGCGCCGAAGGGCGCCCAGGCGGCGGGGGCGCCATGCTGCAAGGCTTGGCGCCCAGGGGGAGCACGCGCGGTCAGCTTTGACCGCGGCCCCAGGGCCGTCGCCAGACTGGTCGCCACCGAGGAGGGACCGAGCAACCAGCAGCTTCTTCAGCTCGGCTGCCTGCTGCTCAATCTTCAGGTGGAGGCCGTCCTTGTCGCCCCCCCCCGCTGCCCTTGCCGCTGCCGCGGCCACCTGTCCGCGCGCTGGCACGCTCCGCGCGGAGTTTGCGCCGCTCCGTCATCGCGCTGGCCTCGCGGTGCAGCTCGGTCGTGATGTGACCCTGCAGGTCAGAGCAGATCATCAAGTGGCCGCGCGTTTCGGCCGTGCCCATCATCAAGAAGACGGTGTCGTCAGTGCTGGGTCGCCTCGTGACACGTTCACGGTACTTGTGCTCGATGAGTGGGGCGCGGCGGGCGAGGTACTCGAAGGTGGCGAGCTCGCTCGCGTTGAGCTGGTCGAGCGAGATGGCGGCGTCGAACACGCGCATGATGAGCTCGTGCTCGCTTGCACCAGGGTTGTAATTGGCGAGGCCCGTCTCGCGTTTCCACTTCGTGTGGCGCGACCGTGGATGATAATCCTTGTCTGCCATGAAGCGCGTTCACCGCCGAGCCGTCCGCGGCCCCAAGACTGGCCAGTGGGGCCAGCTGGTCTCCGTCAGCACACTGACGGCGTCCTTGAACACCCTCCGCCTCTCGCCGTCCTGCGTCTCCTTGATGGCGAGCACGCGGGCGTCGAGGTCGCCCCTCGCCGCCCAGCTCGTCACGCTTGATGTACCTGAGCAGAAACACATCTGAGCCTCGCTGTGCCACCGCGAACCCTCCCACCGTGTCACCACTGGGGAACTCGGACCTCGCGTCGGTGGAGCCCGTGGCTGCCATCACCTTCTAACAGTACGAGTCAGCCTTCGCTTTCGGGAACTCGCCCGCCCCGACGTCCAGGTTGCTCGGAACTGCTGGCGGGGCTGGCGACGCTGCGTCCGCTGGGGCTGCTACTCCATGCTTCCCGCGGAGCCGGCGCAGGGCGGCGCCCGAGGGATCCGTTGGGCAGCAAAACTTGCGAGCTCGCGTATACTCCAAGGGCGCTGGGGCCCAGTCGGCTCCGTACAATCGGTCCTGAGGTCGGAACTGGCGGCCGAGCCTGGTGCCCGGCAGGGGCTGACCCGTCGGATCGGGTGCCACTACCCCGACCAAGGGCCCCACGTCCAGTACATGCGGGTCGATGTCGCCGTCGGGGGTCATACAATATAATAGCTTCGATGTCTGATTCGCCTGGGCAGGGTCGCCGATCTCGCGATCGTAGTTCTCGGGAGAGCAAGGGGAGATGACCAGACGCACTTGCCAATCTTCTCGAACTCTCCACTGGATGGCGACAGTTTGACCAGGCTCCATCGCCGAGAGCCCCACAGCAACACGACAGAACGCCGCAGACCAAGATGCAAAGGAGGAACACGATACAAGCGAAACTCTGGATGCCAATATCTTCCGTAATGGGCAAGCAAGTACCAGCGCCCTCGTGATCTGGGAAGAAACTCTGGATGTACGATGGGATGTGCTGGAGGGGGCCCAGGGCACCGCGCGGATCGTAGCACCCTGGAGAAGACCGATCATGCGCCTGCCTCTGCTGCACTCTGAATATGAACCAGGCTGACTCTGGCCTAGGGTCCACAAGCGTTGAAGAAGATGACCGAACAGAAACCGTCTCGAACCACTTGAACATCATGATGATGTAGTTCACGCCAAAATGGGTGTGAATTCCTTGTCATGTGTAGCCAGGCGCTGGTGGCCGAAGACGCACACCCGGCAGCCATGTAGCCACCGATGGACATGCAGGAGAAGAACTCCGCCAAAGGAAAGGAACAGAAAGAAGTCGGCCGTGGGACAGATGTGAACTCAACGACCAGCGATTTATAGAGGACGCAACGCCCTGGGGTGCCGACGAAGTATAAGTGCGTGTCTAGGCCTCTGACTCCACATTGAAGGCGCCAACAGGGGAAAGTATTACCCACCCATCCCGCGGGCGTCGGCACGATCCCATGGCACGAGCACCTTCCGACAGCCAGGATGAAGAATAGAAGGCAGCACAGTAGCCAACCGGGGAAGGGATAACCCACCCATCCCGCGGGCGTCGGCCAATAGCCGAGAACGGCTGTAAAAGGATGTCGAAGAGACGATACATGCAGGCGAACGTCGTGAACGCCTACGCGCCCCCGACGGGGCATCATGATAAGGTAATGCTATGTGTACGTAAGTGCCCTCGACGGGCCGGCCATACGTGATGACCCAGTTCATGTAGCCCATCGTGGCATACTTGTCAAAAGGTGGTTGCCCCCGGTCGGGAGCACAAAGCAAAAGGTGTATGACAACTCTCAGCGCCTCGCGGATGCGAGGCCCAACCACACGGGTTCGATACCGAGGACGTAATTGTCGTAGTGGTCTCTGGATTCAGCTTGAGCATTCACGCCAGCGGCCATACGCACGCATGCTCAGCAACCTACTTCAAGAAGACGGACCAGAGGAGGAGGACGAGGAGGAGGAGGAGGAGGAGGAGGAGGAGGCGGAGGAGCAGAAGGAAGAGGAGGTGGAGGAGGAGGATGAGGAGGAGGAGGAGGAGGAGGAGGAGGAGGAGTGGGAAGAGACGAGGAGGCGGACGAGGAAGAGGAGGAAGAGGAGGACGAGGAGGAGGACGACGAGGATGAGGAGGAGGAGGAGGAGGAGGAGAAGGAGGAGGAGAAGGAGGAGGAGGAGGGGGAGGAAGGGGAGGAGGAGGAGGAGGAGGAGGAGGAGGAGGAGGAGGAGGAGGAGGAGGCGGAGGAGAAGGGGGTTCGCACATCATGGCCCGAGGCATGCGCGCGGGCCACGGGGGAGGCCAGGAACCGCACCGAGATAAGACGAGGGGCCATGCCATCAAGGGAGAGGTATCATGGCCGCCGACACGGCATCCCCGCTGCCTGGTCGTCACCCCCCTCTCAAGCTAGCCCAGAATTGAATCGATAAGTCGCATCGGCGATCGAAATGGATCGGGTCGGCGGAAATCGGCAGCAGAGTCGGGAGAAGTCGTATCGGCGGACATCGGCAGGCTGGCAAGCCTCCCTTGAGAAATCGGGATCCACATCGGAACCCTCAACCCAACCGACTCGGCACTGGAAGCCATCGAGATCGGACTGAATCGAATCGCAGGCATCGACACGAGCACTGCCCTCCTGCTGGCGGCGCGCAGGGGGGGGCAGGGGAGGGGGGGAAGGCTTCTTAGAAGGGGGCTGCTTCTTAGAAGCCGCGTGCCTTGCATCTACAGCCAAGGCCCGCGCCTTCTGAGAAGCAGCCTCTTTCTAAGAAGCCTTCCCCCCCTCCTCCTACCCCCCTCTGCGCGCCGCCAGCCCTGGCCGCCCCCGAGCCTTGCCACGCTCGCCCGCGGAGAAGACGTCCTGGAACTTCTCGGCCCGCGACCACCCCGACGACGTCCGGCGCGGCGCGCCCGCGGCCGAGACGCCCGCCGTCGAGCGCGCCGCCACGGTCGCCATGGGTTACGAGAGCCGCGCACGGGCGCGAACCGCACGGCCTGACTTCCCCAATGGTTGCGGGCGGGGTCGAAGCCACCGCCAGAATATGTCCACATCCGCTTCTTGGGAGTTGTGCCCAGAGATCTCGAGGGGCGGTGGATAAGGATGTTTGCCCACTCGCGTGGGTGGGCAAATATCCATATCTACCGTTCCCCGAATCCTCGGACCACGTCCCGGCGACAGTGGATGTGGTGATATTCTGGCGGCGGATCGGGAGGCCGAAACCCCGCAGAAAAAATACCCGTGCGCCGAACGAACCGAAGGCGGGCGCGGTCGTCCCGCATAGGGGAAACAGGAGCGCATCGATGACGCTACGGCTGGACCTGGGGCAGAAAAGCGCCCCTCAAGAGTATGAGGCCCTCCGCCGGCCAGACTGGAAAGCATTCGAGGGTGCGCTCCCCCAGGATTCACGAGAACGTGAACAAACACGAATAACGTCAGGGCTCCTTCCCCGCATCGACCTCGATTTTACACCTCGGTCCGACTGTGCCGATGCCGTGGCGCGGGCTTGCCCCCCCCGTTCACGCCAGCGCGGCCGGCGAGACGCGCGGCCCGCCGGCTGAGGAGGAGCCTGGGAAGGAGGAGCAGGAGCAGGAGGAGGAGAAGGAGACTAGAAATGAGGATGTGGTGGGAAATGAAAGACTGCATTACGTAAGCGGATGCATAGCGTGGAAAGCAATGTAGAGCGGGCGCGGTCAAGGATCCTTGAGATCCAGCGCGGCAGCGGCAAGGACAAGGTGACGAGCAGGCAATGCAGGAGGACCTACCGTTCGAGTCTGGTGTTCAAGCGAGTCCGTCGTGCTTTGTACAGGCAAGCAGCCAGCTGCAGAAAGGGCTCTACTGACCGCCCTTCTCATAACAAATTGCCTGGCCGCAGGAGGATCAGTTCACCTGGGTTCGGCATGTCCCTGGGTTGGCGGACGCCACTCCATCCCCAGGGCACATTGGCCCCCCACGGCGCCAACCGCAATCACACTTTACGGCGCCAGTGGCAGGGATGGAAGCACTCAGGCCAGAGCCCGTGGGACTAGCCGAAGCATGCTAATCTATCCCCCCGCCTGAAAAGTGCGAGGCTACCAAGGAGCACTGCCCAAGCATCCGCGAGCTCCCCAGACGCAATCCGGGCAAGCCCGCTCGCTTGAGTGCTCTACTCGTCAATCTCGCACGTGGATGCCCTCGTAAATTCGATCACGCATCCCACCCCCCAGTGGGCCAGTGCGGCTAGTGGAAATAGATCCGCTTTCCGACTCCATGTGACCTCGCGACACAGCCACAAGAGTCATCTTCTCATTCCTGCGAGGGTGAGCTATGCTTTGAGCTCGGGATGGCCTCATTCAGCGTCTTGTCGCCGAAGTTGGCCGCGGCGTGGTCATTGCTGATATGGCCGTCCAGCGCGCTGAGGATAAGCTCTTGGCCCATGCTGCATTTGGTCATGGGGTCGGCCAGTGTGTCCCGAGTGTCGCACCAGTGCAAGTCGTCGGTCTGCTCGGTGCGCAGCTGTTCGGCTAACCGCCACAGGTGAGCAACCATGCTGCTATCGGACGGCGGCCAGGCTGGGTCCATGAGCAGGGCGCTGACGATGGAAATGCCGTCTATGACGAGGTCAGCAGGGACCGCGCAACCTCCTTCCCCCTTCAGCGCCCTGATCTCCTCGGCAGAGGCGGGGCCGTGCACCGTCTCGCGCGACGCGAGGAGGTGCGCCTGCAGGCCGTCGGCTGCGCCGCGTGCTGCGGGCAGCTCGGGGCCCAAAGAGGATCTGCGCGCGAGCTTGTGCGATCGGCTCGCGGCGCCTAGCAGCCGGCAGGTGGCGCGCACGTTCGCCAGTGCAGCGGCAATTGCCGACATGCAGGTATCCGGCTCCTCTCATGCCGTGCCCTGACTCCTCCCCCCTCTTGAACGACCCGTCGCTGCGCGCGCTGAGTTGCCTGGCGCACTCCATTGATGGTAACGCGATGCGTGCCTTGATCTTCTGCGTGGCCAGAACAACGCAGTCGAGCTGCATCGCGCGTCGAATGAGCAGCTTGTTGCTGGCTCTCTGCGAGGCGACGACGAAGGCTGCGACGCGGCGCTGGGCTGGCAAGGCGTAGGCCGCTGCTCCACGGATGGAAACTAAGAGGTCGGGAAGCTGACCCCTGGCCAACTCGTCAGCCTCAGCGTTGACCAGGTCGGCGCGCACGATCGATATCGGAGCGTCGACGCACTCGCCCTGGTCGAGCGGCGCGGTGCCATCGGCACTGCGGTGCCGGTGCGCTCCGCAGTTGGTGAAGTCGTCGCAGTCACCCTTCATCTGGCCCAAGACGCCCTCGATGTGGCTGATTAACGGGTCGACGTGCTCCTTGTGCCCGGCGGTCTTCAGATCGTCAACGCGCATGGACAACGCGGGCGCCAACTCCGAGACGCTGGCAACGCAGCTGCCAGGCGTCGGCTGCTTGACCTCAAGCTTCGAGCCCCGCCCGGTAGGTCTGGCGTCGCTCTCAGGTGAGCGCGTGGCCCGGGCGAGATTCATGGAGAAGGCTCGGGGCGCACCCTTGCAGCCCGTGCCCGGCTTGATGCAGCGCAGGCACTCGGTCCGCTCGTCGAAGCTCTCGTAGCTGGGCACCTGACTGAGGATGGCTGCGCTACTGGGTGGCAGGGTGAAGTTCACCTCTCGAGGTGCTTCGCCTTGCCCCTGTATCTCTGCATAGGCCATGCCTTGCAGGAACGCCTTCTCGACGTCGACGGCTACGTGCATCCGGTCGGGGCGACTCGCCGCCTCGGCGGATAGCAGGCGCTGGGGCGCCCGCTTCGCTGTCCCGGCGGACATCTCCAGGGCTTTTGCGCCCGTGTCGCGGAGGCCCCTCAGCGCCGCGCGGGTGATCCCGGCAGTCTTGCCGTCTGACTCCTTCCAGCGCTTCCACGTGAAGGCGCGTCTGGGATCCATTGCGTTTCGACCGCCTTTGAGCGGCCGCCTCTCGAAACATGTTAAATTGACGCAAATGGCGAGTTCCTCGAGGATGGCAGCTGCGACCTCCTTCGATAGCCTCGACACCTCGTCGTTCGACGGGAGGTCGGAGTTGCGCTTGATGACCACTGTCTTGACGCCAGCATAAATGTTAAGCACAGCTTTCTGAGGATCGCCAGCGACGCAGTCGCCAGACGCAGCCTCGTTGAAGCTCAGGAATGCTTCGCGCACCCCTGGATCAAGATGCAACTCCACATGTCTACCTACATCGTCCTCCTCCTCTAGCGTGACGTAATCGTCCAATGGGGCCCCGCGAAAAGTCGCAGTGGCACTGCGCGTGGATGCTCTGAAGCTGGCGCTGTGCCCCGAGGTGCTGGGGCCACTCGCGCGGCCCACGGCCTAGATCGGCCGCGGCGTGCTCGGCGGCAGCGGAGATCCCATGCCGGCCGGCTGTCGGCGCTCTCCAGCTCCTCCAGCTCCTGGGCCAGGTCTTCTGCCCCCTCAACGTCGCGTCAGGCTGTCGGCCAGAGAAGTCGCTGTCGGTCTCCTCGGGTATAGCCGACAGGGCTGATGGTGATCCACCTTCGGCGGTGCTGGCGGTGTCCTTGGGCGCGTCGATGACGCAGTCGTCGAAAATTCCGCCGCGGTGCCGTCCGGCGCCCGTTACCCGCAGCGGCTCATCACACAAAACCAACTGGATGATGCGAGCTTCCTTCCAATGATCGCCGATGAGCTGGCGGGCGTCGAAAGCGACGCCATCGAGAAGGATCTGCTGGACGTCTGCAGGGTTCCGAGGGAACCGCCAGATGGCCCATCTGCGGGCGCGGCCCAGCCAGTTGCGCACAGATTTCTGTTCGCGAATGTGAACCGTGCAGCGCGAACGTCTGGCAGCTGAAAGCATCTGCGGGAAAGATGGCGCAGAGCTTCGAGGAGTAGGACGTCCCTCCGCTGGCCCTCCCAACGGCCCAGGAAAATGGCGACGATTTCGCAGATCGCAGCCCCCCAGGGGACGGCGAGGTCTCGTGGTGATCCGCGTGGGACGTACCTCCGCTGGCCCTCCCAGGAACCCGCGAAAGTGGCGACAGTTTGGCAGATCGCAGCCCCCCCAGGGGACGGCGAATTCTCGTGGTGATCGGTGTGGGACGTACCTCCGCTGGCCCTCACAGAAGCCCAAGAAAGTGGCGACGATTTCGCAGATCGCAGCCTCCCAGGGGACGGCGAGGTCTCGTGGTGATCTGCGTGGCCCTCCCAGAAGCCCGCGACCGTGGCGACAGTTTCGCAGATCGCAGCCACCCAGGGGACGGCGAGGTCTCGTGGTGATGTGTGTGTGGGGCGTACTGCCGCCGGCCCTCCCAGAAGCCCACGAAAGTGGCGACAGTTTCGCAGATCGCAGCTCCCCAGGGGAAGGTCTCGTGGTGATCTGCGTGGGACGTACCTCCGCTGGCCCTCCCAGAAGCCCACGAAAGTGGCGACAGTTTCGCAGATCGCAGCCCCCAGGGTGTGGCGATGTCAAGAGCCAGGAAGGAGGGAGGAAGAGGGAGGAGGAGAAGGAGGAGCAGCAGAAGGACGAGGAGAAGAAGGCGAAGGAGGAGGTGGGGTCGGCAGTGCTCCATTGGAAACGAATACCCAACACGGGAGGGTTGGGAAAAAAACAGCGAAACGAGAAACGAAACGAAAGCCCAGAAACTATAGCCAAGGCGAGAGGGGGCAGAAACGAAACGAAAAACGAAACGAACACTCGATCGATGGCTGAGGCTACGGCAGAAGCTGGGGCCCAGGCTGGCGATCAGGCCAGGAACGAAACAACAATCACAGGGAGGAATCAAGGAACCGAGCAACGAAACGAACGCCTGGAAACTAAGCCAGGGCGAAGGGCGACAGAAACGAAACGAATAACGAAACGAACAACGAAACGAAACGAACGACCATAATTATGGCTGGGACTACGGCTGAGGCTGGTGCCCACGTTGAAGCGCTGGCCAGGAGCGCAACAAAACAACATAAACATCATCATCAACAA